CTGCTTTGCTTCTGATTCAGCTTCCGGCTGGAAGGCAGTGGATGGTGATCCAAACACTTGGCCCTTGCCACCATTGTGGGAGACCAGAATGCAGTTCCTAGCTCTTGGCTACAACCTGGCCCAGCCCTAACTCTTGCAGGCATTTGAGGAAGTGAACCAATGAATGGAAGATCTCTCTTCCTCTTTGTCTCTGTTGATCTGCCTTTCAAATAAGTATGTAAGTATGTAAATAAATAAATCAGCATTATAAAAAACATTGTATTAGTTAAATATATTGATTGCTATATCAATAGGAAAGAATTTTACTTCAGTGTGTTTTGCACTAAGGGCATCAGCGAGCTGGCCTGAGAAAGCCTGGTTTGTTTATTGTGATGGGAAAGAGATACAGACTAGTGTTGCCCTACATTACTTGTGTATCAGAGTAACTTCTTAGGGCAGGGGCCATCTGTCTTTTTAAAATGTTAGTCATTAACCAAAGTTCACAGAAGGAAGTAGTTATCATTTCCATTCACAGCATCACAGTATTCATTCTTGTCCCATCTAGTTATTCGGCTAGAATGATCATTCACCTCTGTTTTCAAACATCTCAATTCTCATTTGTTACAAAATCCTTAAAAAGCCTGTGAAGTCCTGGCTGCACTGGCATTTATGCTTTCTCCACCCATTTATGTTCCACCAGACCCTCTCATCTTTTCTGTGTTTTTTTCTACACCAGCATCCTTTCAGTTCTTCCATCACAACATGGTCACTCCTGCCACAGGGAATTGTGCATGATCTTGCTATTCCCTGGAATGCCCTTTCCTGTCCCACAGTCCTTTATCCGGGCAACTCCTCTTCATCTTTCAGTTCAGTCCCTTCCTTGTAGGCCTCACCTCACTGCTTCCCTGACCTCACTGCTCTCTCTTGTGGTACTTATTACAATAATTTTATGTGATTATCTGATTGACTTTCATCATTCCTGACTGGATTGTAAAATCTCTGCAAGAGCAGGGACCGGGTCTAGCTTTGCCGTTTGTTTTACGATTCTTTGCGCTTAGCATTGTGCATGGGGAAGACCCTTTAAATATTGACTGTAAGAGTGAAGGAGCCAAGGGGTGCATGATGGGTAGGTGAATAAATGGATAATTGAACCACTGCAACAGGGACAGTGACACAGTCCCTCAGTAGTCACTTTCTAATGGAACCAGGCAAAAGTTATGAAGCTGGATCTGGTGGTGGCTTTCATTTGCTGTACGATATTTGTTCTGTAGGTGTTCACTTTTTTAATCTAATGAGGCGGCAAAGCAGATGTGGGTATGAGAGGACATTCGGGGACTGCTTCTTTCCTAGCTTTTTCTCCTTGACTCATTTGAGAAGTTGATGAGCCTGACAGGGTAAGTAAACATCTGACTTTTCAACACCCACATACCAGTATTTTCTGACCTTGCTTGATTAAGGGAGTCAACTGTTAGATTTTGAGGGTCAGACTGTGGCTGGGGCCTGTATTGTTAGGCACGTCAGTCAAGGGGAGCTGGAGGAACCCCACCCTGGAGATATTACCTCGGAGTTGTGTGAGACTTAGATAGAAATGTGCACTGCTTACATAAACTTGTTGCTATTAAACTAGTAAATAAGGAGTTGATTAATTACTTTAGAGCTATTTCTTTTCTACATAGTAGCTAATTTTTTTTTCCATATTGGAGCACTTAATAAATTGTTTGTACATTCACATATTTCGTAGTCTAGAATCTTCGGGTTGATTTGTTATATTTTAGAAACCATTTTAAAAGGGAGATATAGAGGTCATTCCACTTATATGTTTACCTTAAGACTGATGTGTGACCTGTTAAAATTGTGGTTCGAAGTGTTTTCAGAGAGACTGACCTAATGAAATGTGGTGTTGAGGACAGTGTGTCTTTTGCATCCTGCGAGGACTGATCTGGTAAGTCTGCCAATGTTATGCTTCCATTACAAATCACATAGAAGAAGGTAAATGGGACGTGTGTAGAACAGTCCATTGAAGAAGTAGGTTGCATCTCTTGTGGAGATATATAGAAGTTAGTTAAGGTGTTTTGATTCTAGGAGGGAGATGTCATTGAAGAGAGATCTGTTTTTCTAGGAGGGTCCAATTACAGCTGGGGATGAATCAGAGAAAACATTGGACAGGGTTACAAATTGAGGCGTGTAGAGGTGGAGGCAGCTCAAGGAGGCTTTTAACACCCTGGGTCAGACACATTTCTGGGTAACAGATGCGTGAAATCATAAGTGATTTAAATTAAGCTTCCAGTTGGTAGATGAGTTGGAATGAAACCATGTTTTTACATTGCTTATTTCCTAGAGCCAATCTGCAGTTACATTTATTTCAGTTAGATATAAAACATGACTGATATGGGTGAATGTTACGATATGTGTATTATATGTTGATACAGTTGTAACAAAGGATTACTGATCTTTATTTTTTACCTTGAATATATGTAACCTTCACTGATGTCCATTACAGTAGGTCATTAAGAAGTAATCAATTCATATTGTTATTCATTGTTTCTCTCTGACACATTAAAGATATTAGAGGGAATTAGTGGGTGGGTTATTTTTAGGTCGATTTAGGTAAAATTGCAGGTCAAGAACCTTAAAAGAGGGTCATAAACATTAATTGAGTGACTTGCAACTGATAGTTTTTATAAAAAACAAAATGCAGTAGACTAAAAGTGTATTCGTTTTGTGGAACATTTCAGTTATTTTTTATTTTTGTGTGTGTTAATCTGTGAGTGTGCATGAGTGAATGAGTACTTGGTTGCTATTATAAAACATGTTTCTTCATGTAGTACACGATCAAAGAATTTGAAAGCCGTTGTATAACCCTGGAGCACCCTTCTGCTTCATCAGCATCAGCAAAGTCATGAGTTCCTCATTACCACGCCATTCTTGCTTGTACAAGTCTTCAAAGGGAAAAATTTCGCTAAAATAAATTGAAAAATCAAGTCTTTGATGAAACTCTTTGCATGTGGCTCCCTAACTACCCTTTCTCTTGTGGTCCTCTTGTATTTCAAGGTTAAATTATGGGGTTCACTAAGTAAAACCTTCAGAAATGAGTATCTGGACAGAATTTGACTAATAGTTTTCTGATTTTTAAAAAATATTGTTTTACTCCTTCCCCTCCTTTTTCTTCATGAAGATATTTCTTAATCTTTTTCTTTCTCCCATGTTCTTGTATCTTTGTTTTATTTTTATGCTTCTTTTCATTTATGTAATATTAATGCTGTCACAGCAATGCACTTATTGGTGATGTGACTTTTGGGAACCTGAAAGCAAAGCCGAAATGTTGTCATGCTTTTCTGCTAGATACATGGTCTGAACTGCATTTCTGGACCCTCTTGGGCCTGCTCTCAAGATGGCAAGAAGTCTTAGATCATCTTGATAGCAAACTGATCTGGATGTATAGAGCTGAGCAAGCATCATGATTGTGTTAAAGAATCTTTCATTTCCTCTGATCTGGTGTCACACCCTAGAAAGGAGAGAGAAGTCCAGAAACCTCTGGCTGCCCCCACCCACCTTTGGTCCCCCTCCTCTACTTCTTCCAGTCTTAGGTAACACATGGAGCTTAACTGAGTAAGACAGTGACCAAAACGGTAATTTATTTTTCCCAGCCAGAAGTTCTTTATCTGTGGCACTGTGTTGGACTCCACTTGGGTTGTTAGGATAACATGTCTTGGTCTCTCACTATGTTGTTTTTCATCATGTGAGATAATTAAAGGGCATCTCGATCCCTAGCAAATCTGAAAATCAATCAGATGGTCAGATGGTTACAATGCTATGTTAGGATTGGTAATTTTATGAATTATATAGTTATATGGCGTCACATGCAATGATGCTCCCTCCCAAACCCCATCTTTCAATGTTGTATCAGGGTTGGTTTGATTATTACAGCAAAAGGCAGCACAACATCAGTTTAAATGTGATAGAAGGTGACTTCTCTCTCATTTAACAGAGTGGATGTAAGCAGGGCAGGGCAGTTATGGTGCCTCCATGGTGCCAGGGGGCCTAGGAGCCTTCTGTTTTATTGCTTTGCTTTCTTTAACCTAGAGCTTTTATCTCATAGCTTGAGATTGACTGTTCCTGCACCTGAAACCTCATCGTTATTTATTATTGTTACAAAATGGGTAACGCAAAGGGGAGGGCATACTCCTTTCAGGGGCACAGTCTAGAAGTATGTAATTCCTGCTCACATGGCCAGACCTAATGGTGGTCACACTTAACTGCAAGGGAATCTAGAAAGCTGTCTTCAGCCGTGCAGCCACAGGTCTCATACAAACTGCTCCTACTGTAGAAGAGAACATGAATTGGGGGAATTAAGAGAGTCTGCATCACAGTTGTCAGCAGCAGAAAAGGACTCACTTTTGGAATGGTTTATTCCAAATTATTATTGCTTTGTATGGAGAAATTATCAAAGGGACTTGAGCCAGTGAAAAGAGTTTACCTGAGTCAGTGTATTTCCCTTTGGGACCCTAAGTCAAAAACATTTTTTCTTATTGACTATAAATAGGAGTGTGAAAAATATTGAAAACAAGTTTGCTCTGCTCTACATCTTATTTTTCTTGTGCTGTTTTTGTGTCTTTCCTTTTCTCCTTGGTTGGGGTTGATTTCTTTTTTCTTCCTTTTTCTTTCTTTAAAATATTTATTTATTTGATAGACAGTTACAGAGAGAGGTAGAGACACAGAGAGAGAGGTCTTCCATCCAATGGTTCACTCCCCTGATGGTTGCAATGGCCAGAGCTGGACCAATTAAAGGCCAGGAACCAGGAGCTTATTCTGGGTCTCCGACGTGGGTGCAGGGGCCCAAGGACTTGGGCATCTTCTGCTGCTTCCCCAGGTCATAGCAGAGAGCTGGATTGGAAGTGGAGCAGCCAGGACTCGAACCAGTGGCCATATGGGATGCTGGCACTGCAGGTGGTGGCTTTACCTGCTACACCACAGCACCAGCCCTGAGGCTGATTTCATAATCATTTTCTTTGTGTTTCTAGGTATGGCGCAGTCACACGGATGGGTGAAAAGATACTTCAAGGCCTTTTGCAAAGGCTTCTTCGTGGCAGTGCCTGTGGCAGTGACTTTCTTGGATCAAGTTGCCTGTGTGGCAAGAGTGGAAGGCGCATCAATGCAGGTGAAAAGGAAGACAAGTGCATTCTTTAAAGCCTTCATTGTTTCTCAAGCACTAGAGATGAGGGCTCTGGTTATTATTTCTATGCTGGAAATGGAAAGGTTTTAAAAATGCATTCAACCAAAATTTCGGTTTACTAAATTTACTCAAAGGAGGAAATTTCCTCAAAGGAGGAAAGAATAAAAATAGTTATCAGATAGTTCTTTCTTTCTTGGGTCTGTAGTTCAATTTTTTTTTGAGACTTATAAATGAAGAATCTAAAGAAATTCTACTAAATGACATCATTTTCTGTAAATTTGACTATTTGAATATCCTTTTATTTATTTTTAAATATTTATTTATTTTATTTGAAAGGTGGAGTGAGTGAGTGAGTGAGAGAGGAGAGGTCTTCCATCTGCTGGTTCACTTCCCAAATGGCCATAATGGCTAGAGCTGGCCCGATCCGAAAGCAGGAACCCAGAGCCTCTTCTGGGTATCCACATGGGTGCAGGGGCCCAAGGACTCGGCTCATCCTCCACTGCTTTCCCAGGCCATGGAAGAGAGCTAGATTTGAAATGGAGCAGCTAGGACTTGAACCAGTGCACACGTGGGGTGCTGGCCCTGCAGGTGGTGGCTTCACCCGCCATGCCATAGCACTGGCCCTTGAATATCCTTTAAAGACCAAATACAGTTGCAGGATGGGTTTGGGAAAATTTACAGTACTTTTATTTTTTTAAAAAAGATTTATTTGTTTGAGAGACAGAGTGCCAGAGAGAGAGAGAGAGAGAGAGAGAGAGAGGTGAAGAGAGAGATTGACCCATTTATAATCTTCTACTTTACTCCCCAAGTGTCTTCAATGGCTGGGGCTGGATCAGGCTGAAGCAAGAAGCCAGGAACTCCATCCTGGTCTCTCACTTGAGTATCAGGAACCCAAGTACCTTGTATGTCTTGTGCTGCTTTCCCAGGTGCATTAGTAGGGAGCTGGATTGAAAGCAGAGCAATTAGAGTCTTGAAACAGTGCTCCAATATGGGATGCCAGCCATTGTGAGTGGCAGGTTAATCTCGGTTTCTCTATCGATGCATACATTTTGTTTGTAGGAAAATCTACATCAGTGATACTAGATAGTCTAGTGTGCTCTTTAAGCACATTGCTGATTGAAAAAAATTTTTTTTAAAATATTTTATTTATTTATTTGTGAGGTAGAATTAGAGAGAGGGAGAGACCGAGAGAAAGGTCTTCCGTCTGCTAGTTCACTCCTTAAATGGCCACAATGGCTGGAGATCAGGTCTATCCAAAGCCAGGAGCCAGGAGCTTCTTCTAGGTCTCCCATGTAGGTGCAGGGACCCAAGGACTTATGCCATCTTCTGCTGCTTTCCCAGGCCATAGCAGAGAGCTGGATTGGAAGTGGAGCAGCCGGGACATGAACTGGTGCCCATATGCTATGCTGACTTTACAGGCAGAGGCTTAGCCCACTACGCTATAGTACCAGCCCTGCTAATTGAAAAATTTAATTACAGCTCAACATTGGAAGAACTTTAGAGTAGAGATTTCCCAAGGTTCTATATGGATACTTTTCTGGAATTTCTTAGAGTGTAGATTTTGTTCTTCTAACGTCAGTGTTTAGAACAAAGCTGTTAAGTAAGTTTATGCAGTTAAGCAGGTTTCCTATTTTGTAATTTGATGTTTCTTCTATTACTTGCATGTCAGTTCATGCGTTATGCTAAATAGCTAGGTAGAGAAAATAAATACAATGAATATGCAATCTTGTAAGAGGTGAAAATTATATAGAGAATATAGAGAATAGTTGGCATGGTTATTGCCTTTTTGTTTTTTTGTTTTTTTTTAGTTAGAACTGGTTAAGGGCATAGGCATCACCTCCAAGAAGTAAGAATGGATTTGCTTTATCTGTTGTCACTCAGCTACTGACTTCTGGTCAACCATGAGATAAGGAAGTGCCTGTGGAGCCTTCTGGTGGATGCTCTTTCCGTGAAAGTAAAAGCTTAAAGCAGGGCTGCCTTTGTACTTACTTCTACTTCCATCCCTTGAGGGTGGTTAACCCTTCTCTTGGGCAGGGCATTCTCACCCGAGCTCTTGTCTTTTAGGTTCCTCTGTAGTCACCAGCTCAGAGCAAACAGGTCTAAATGCAAAAGTATTTTAGTGCAGAAGTACAGTAAACAGAGGAAGAGTACTTTACAGGCATATGGCCTTATTTCTGGATTCGTTGAAATACATTTAACATAGACTGCATTTTACATTTCCCGGCCTCTTTAATTTTGAATTCCTAGTGGCCTTGTCTTAGTTTGAATCCTTGGGGATAGGTAGATTTTTTTCTGCTTATATTTGAGTCTGATTGTTCATTTCAGGTTAAAACTGCCTTCTGCATAGCAAACCAATCCCTTTTGGACCCTAAGATTCCTTTGAATCTATCCATGGTGAAAATAATCAGGTTAATAATAGCTTTCTCCAGTTTTGTTAGCCAACCATAGTATCCAGTTTTCCAGAACACAGAACCTTCTGACCTTGGATATTATGACATTCCAGAGGCTCCTGTGGCACTCATAGTATCCCAATTGTTGTATTTTCCTACTTCATATTTTCATATCTTCCTGCTGAACATCTGTGTGTATGGCTTGTGTGCGGAGAGACAGCGAAATTCCTTGAAAAATACCAGATTCTTTCTCACATTAACTCTCTGTCTTTTGAAAGGACAGGGCTTATCCCTAATGAGGAAAAGAGTGAAGAAAGTGGTAATCCTGTGGTTCCTAAATGCCAGTCCATGTTCTACTGCCGGGGTTGCATCAGGTGCATTAGAATCTGCAGATACTTAAAATTTGTTGTCGTTTTTCCAGGCTTTCCTCTTCTTCCCCATCCCTTCCACCAGAAGCAATTAAATTTATTACCTTGGAATTTATTTAGTCTACTCTGTAGAAGTTCTTTGGCTATTGGTAATAGGAAAACAGTGTGAATTAACTTTGGCATAAAGAGGAAGTCAGTGGAAGGCTTATTAAGCACATGAGAAGGACAGGAATATGGCAGCTGACAGGGACAACTGGGACCAGGCTTTGAATGCTGCCAGGGTGCTCAGTCTCCTTTTTCTAAGTTCTGCTTCTGTCTGCATCTTGGCTCCATCCTCTCAAAACAGCTTTCTTTGCACGGCAGGGCACATGGCTACTGGCAGCTCTCATGTCTTAGAATGCCCATTTCATCACCACCTAAGAGAGATCTCTCTTCTTGCCATTTGTTTCATTTGAAATGTCTTGAGGAAGGACTGTGACTGATGCAGCCTGGGACATATGCTCTCGTCTATGCAATTACACAGATCAGCTTTGGCAAGCCATGTGTGGGTGCCTTGACAGGTCTAGCTTCAGACAGGGACTATGACTCAGCTAGTGATCAGTAAGACAATGACAGTGTATGTTTGAACCACACTGGTCCTTGGGAGCTGAGGGTGAAGTTTGGGTGGCATTTTTCAGAGGAAGGGAGATACTATTTTCGGATTAAAGGGAGAGGATATTTATTTTGGTAAGAAAGGAAAAATAGGTTTATATTTTTATTTGAGACTAACTGTAGTGGTGACCGATAATTTTATTTATGGTTTAATTTGCTATCACCAAATCATACCTAAAATTATTTAACAGCAGAAATTGTAATATGAGATTTGGGAATTCACTCATTCAGCATGCTTAAAGACATGTTGGCTACTACAGCTTTGATAGGCTGAACATGTTAAGACCATGGGTTTCAGCAGAAATTTTGACAATTAGAATACATTCCTGTGTTTAAACTTCTCTAATGATGCAAGTAGTGAAATAACTGGCAGGGTGTGGAGATCTCTGGAAGTCCTTGAACGTCCTGCAAGTAGCACATCTGCTCTTCTGGACTCGGAAGTATGTGGCACCTGGCTTGTTGTGAAGAGGAGGAGAGTTTGGATGTGTGGTGATGTCTTCTTGTACCAAGGACTAGAAATAGGAAAAGAAGGCAGAAAAAGAAGAGGCAAGGAAGAAGAAAAATGTTGAGAAGGGGGAAGCAAGTAACAGGTAGATGATAGAGATTCATTGGGTGATAGAGGATCATGGAGAAAATTAGACAGTTTGGGCAGTGAGCAGGAGTCAGTGACCCCAGGACTGGTGAAAAAGAGATGCAAGACAGAAGTGCCACAGTCAAGAGGTTGATAGGCCCCTCGTGGTACCTTTGGAATCATACCTTTCATGCTTGACACATCTTTGCTGCATGTTTCTGGGAAGCACCAGCAGGATGCGTCTTCTTCTTCTTCTTTTTTATTTTTTAAAGATTTATTTATTTATTTGAAAGTCAGAAAGAGAGAGAGAGAGAGAGGGAGAGGTCTTCTGTCCACTGGTTCACTCTCCAAATGGACACAACGGCTGGAGCTTGGGCCCACCTGAAGCCAGGAGCCAGGACCTTCTTCCCGGTCTTCCGCATGAGTGCAGGGGCCCAGGGCTTTAGGCCATCTTCCACTGCTTTCCCAGGCCACAGCAGAGAGCTGGATCAGAAGTGGAGCAGCTGGGACTCAAACGGGTGCAGATATGGGATGCCGGCACTGCAGGCGGCTGCTTTATCCACTATGCCGGCCTCAGGATGCATCTTCTAACCACCCATTCTGCGGCTCAATATTCACTGAAGGAATATGTGTACCCTTTTGAAGAAATTTATGTTGGTATAGATGATGAATTTTGAGCACCACTCATTGCATAGTACTTTAGTTCTCCAGCATATTCAGGAGAAAGATCATGTGTTAATCTGCTTTTTGTTATTTTAACTAAAATACCTGAGAGGAGCATTTTTAGAAAATAACAGGTTTGCTTCAGCTTACATTTTGGAGGTTATAGTTCAGGATTGGGCAGTCCCATTTTCTGGTGTCTGTGGAGACTGGTCATAGTGTGTGCAGAGACACGATTACATGCTGAGCCAAGGAACTGAGAACCTAGTCCAAACTTGAACTCAGATAAATTATATCTCTTGGGAGAACCACCCTCAAGGGCATGTCACCAATGACCCGAACACC